CTTTTTAATTATCACATCCCATATGTAGCCTACAGTGACGAACAACGCCATCAGGGAGAAGTTTGAAGATCAACCCACAATCGAGGAACAATTGAAACTGCGACGGCTACGATGGTTCGGTCATCTGTGCAGGATGGGTCACGACAGAATACCTAATATGCTCCTGTGGAGAAAACGCCTGCGTGCGAGTTAGAGCAGAGGACGGCTCCAAAAAAGACTTGGTTGAAGCAAGTTGAGGAAGACCTTAGGGCTCTCAGGTGCAGTGTTGAGCATGCTAGACGTATTGCTGCTAATCGACCAGAATGGAGACACTTCATTCAGGGCGTTCGTACTCCAATGGCACCCACAGCAGTGTACTGGTTGAGAGGCCGGCCCCCACCACCAGACGCAAGCTAAGGGATAAGTAAGTAAGTATACTATGCCACCATGTAGATCGCTACGAGCTTGAATACATTCTTTGCGACGGTTCCCAAGAATCCCAATAGTCCGGAAACTGGGATCAGTTTCTGAAATGCATGACCATGTGTTCATTTGCCTTTATACGGCGTAAATTTTTTGCTGCGCATCACTAATGAAGTACGTTCTCCGACTTATGCCGAACAGTTTTACTTCGCCACTATCGACTGCAAGTTAGCTGTAACTTTGCTAGAACTGGACGACAGACGCCCAGGAACTCACCAGTCTATTCCAAGAGGACGATAGAGGTTCATGGGGATTCCAAAAGGCATGTATGAGCTATATAGGTTCTCTCTGGTAGCACTCTCGAAAGCACAGATCGTCATACCCTCTTCATTCGTTAAGGTTTTATCACAGAAAGGACTATTTCACTTCATTGCTCGTAGAGTTTATCTCAACGCTAAACGCGTGACTAGTTTCTTAGAAGTCTTTACAAACAGTACCTTCGACAGGGGATAGTTGGGAATACTATACGTGAATGGTCCTCTCAAACCATTTTATTCTTAGAAGAAGAAGAAGAAAAAGAAGAAGCGAGAGATCCCAAGAGAAAAGATGGTTCCCGGACAAACAGTGACAAAGCCGCATTCTTATTCAAGTAAGTTCGCCTAATTCTACACTCGAGTATAATACTGATGTCTCTGGATCGCAACCACCATTTTCCTGAACAATACTGTTTCCAGGTGGAGAGTGATAAAGCTCTTGGGTTCAGGAGGGTTCGGTGATGTCTATAAAGTTGTGAAGGAAAATGACGGCGATAAAAAGGTAAGCAATTAGCTGGAGCATACATTGCTTTGCACATGACCTTATGCGCTTGAAATTTGGATCTGTGAATGCCTTTGCAATCATTGGCACAGTGTTGTCGAAGAAGAAATAGGTTAATAGTTAATAGGTTCCACTCAGCCGCCTTCACCCCAAAAAAGCTCCATCCTCACACCAGTGATAGACTTTTTGAACGTCTACACGATTTCGATAATTTAAGACCAATTCCGATTGATTCGCAAATGGGTCAATGGACGAACTCGAATCGCCGATGCTATTGACTATACCAGCGCCAAAGGAAGGAGCAGCGAGAATGCAGTTGCGAAACGCTATCCATGCGAAGCTCAATTGAGCTTCGGCGTTCGAAAAGCATGCTGTGAAGCGAGAGAGACGCAAGCCCACAGCGAGAACCACACCGCAGTAGCACACACCAGAAGATCCAGTTACCTCGCCACGTTTTGACTTTACGTTTTTTGAGCACTCAAAATCACATGGACAAGATACCTGCCCTTCGAAGGTCTGCGGCCACTTGAGTAGCAAAATCGAAAATCTCTGCTGACAAACTGCGCACGTCGGGCAAAGTTGCACTTATGGTCAAACATGTGTGACGCAATTTTCGACCTGGGGATTGTATGTGGACCGGCTCGTAGGGAGGAGGAGGCAGGGCACGCCCTCGCGTTGTAACAAGTTTCTGCTAAATACGACCCCCCCGTTAATTTCGATACGACCCCCGTGAGGTACTAATCTGTTATCAGATAAGCGATGTTATGCCAGCAAATAATCGTTTATGTGCTACCAGATGAACGACTAACTGCTGATAGATTCGTGCTGCACGAAGGCACCAGTAATATATTGCTAATCTACCTTCAGGTGAAATATGGTGCTGGCGCCTACATCTGAATCTGCTAGCAGTCGAAAAATGAAAACACCGAAAAAACGGAAAGCCTGCGAAACGCAACGTAAAAAAGACGATGCTAAGTATGGATAAGCTGTGAACAATGCAAAAAAAATAATGAATGATGCAAAAGGTTATGGATAGACTGTAATAAGGCACAAAAAAAGAAAAAAGAATAAGTAAATGCGCCAACACTCGAATATTAATTGTTCGTGGCCATCCTCCAGGTGTGCCCCAGCGTAGAAGCCACCGCTTTGTGCCTGGGTATTGGAGCGAGCTATATCACGGTACGAATTCAGTTCCAAGCCGAGACTCCGAAGTATCTTTTGATCCTTTTATTGCAGCTGAACCAAAATCGGGACTGGAATCTGCAACGGGGGATTGTTGATATAGCGGGTTTGATATGTATTTTCAGAGAGAAAATTTTTTAGATTCCGAATCGGTCTAAACCTTCACAACATGTTTTGGCTGAACGAAGCTTTTGGCTGTGTCCATTGACAAGTCAAAGACTCGCTTTTGCGAAGATTCCTCCTCCTTCCCCGAGCCGCCAAGCTTATCTGCGCGATAACTTCGGCGCAATTTGGGTGAACTCCTTTCAGCGAGCGCTCCCATCGCATGGCAGAAAAATTGTTTGCGGATGATTCTAAGCACTTTTCAGGGAGGTTGAAGTTTAGCGAAAGTTATGTAGGTCACAAAGCGCTCCATTCTTACAGCACGCAGCGCAATCGCAGAAACTGGGCAAATAACAGTCAAAGGGGGCCGAGGGGAACATGCTGTACGATAGGGTGAGTTTCCGGAAAGTGGTGCTCAACCCGAACTCTACCTTGCAGGAGTGGAATCTTGCATGAAGTGCGCAGTTACGCAGAGTGTCAGATGAGCCAAAAGTGTGTTTTGAAGTAGAACCTTTTGCTTGAGGAAGGGTGAAACCTCATAGCTCGCGATCTTGTTCATCCTACTATTATATAATCCGCCTAAGTTTGTCTGTTTGCGTGTGTGTGATGTGTTGCTGTGTGAATGTAATGTGTGTCTGTGTGTTTGACCGGAAATTTCATTAACTCTCCTTCAGTAAGAGCCGATAAGAGCGCGTCAAAACTTGCATAAGTGATGCAGGGGATCCGCGCGACGAACACTAATGATAGGCTGGCAGGAAAGTGATAAAAGCGTTCGATAAGATTTACATAAAGAGCCTATTAGAAGCAAGGGTCACCAAATACATAGCGGCGTGGCCACAGCACGACGGGGGCTTTTGCGCCTCCAAGAATGTAAGATAGGCGGACAGGATGGGAACATTATTGGTCGGTGGCAGGGAGTGATACCAGTTGATAAGATACCAAAAGGAGCCTTAGAAGGTAAGGGTCACCGAATTCATAACGGGCGTCGCAGCAGCGGTAGAACGTTGGTTCCAAGAAGTAAGATAGAGGGCAGGATGGGGACATTTTTGTGGGTGGCAGGAAGTGATAACATTTGATAAGATACCACAAGGAGCCTTAGAAGGTAAGGGTCGCCGAATTCATAACGGGCGTCGCAGCAGCGGTAGACCTTTTGTGTTCAAGAAGTAAGATATAAGCGGCCAGGATTGGCGACATCGTGGGTGGCAGGAAGTGATAACAGCCGATAAGATACCATAAGGAGCCTTAGAAAGGGAAGTTCACTAACTTCATAACGCGCGTCACAGCGACGGTAGACGTTTTCTAGAAGTAATATATGGGGCAGGATGGTAACATCATTGCGTGGGTGCGCAGGGACGTTTGATAACAACCGATAAAAGTACTGTAGGGGGCCCACTTCAGGAAGGGCCTCAAAATTCAATGCAAGAGTTGGAGCAACAACGGGGAGCTGCATCTTTACTCTGCTTGCGACTGAACTTGACCACCGTGACCCAAGAATCACTGAGCCAAACCTTAGTGACCCGAGATGTTTCTATCCCTTAGCGATGTAGTCGGAAATGATCCGACCGCTAACTCTCGAGTACCACCCAGAAGTAGAAACCTAAAGTTGTTTGCCAGTGAGGAATGATAAGTCATCAACAGACGAGATTTTGCGGAATGCTTAGCCTCACTGGAAGTTTTAGGATGTGAAAACATTTCACTATGATTCCGATACTGTGACCATTAAAACTCCTTCAACCGCTAAGCTGTCCCATTTCCAACGAATGCTGAGTGTTGCGATAAACACCATAGGTTGGCAAATGTTCATTAAAGAGCGAAGAATCCCATTGATGCAAATGCGGCGTGCTTTTTGAAGCATTTGCAATAAGGCGATGTGTTAGGGGCCACCGTAAAAATTCCGCCACTGATCAGCAGCATAGGTTTAACCATTCGCGCAGTAGTGCGCGTCAGCCAAACTGGTAGCTTCATATAACACTAATGTCTCCATTGCTTCGCAGGAATATGCCGATGAAGACGAAATGGTTGGAAGGCGACAAACTCAAACTTTCGCTTGAAAATAGAAGTTCTTGTGTTAGCACAATGTCATGAAGTATCTGATCCAGAGAAAAAGGGCCATTTTGTTGAGTTCGTTGATCGCGGAAAAAAAAAACAAAAAAAAAAAAAAAAAACAAAAAAAAAAAAAAAAAAAAAAAATAAAACTGCATAAATTCCAAGCGTCAGATGTCTCTGCCCTTTATCTACTTTTCGATCAGACGGGCAACACATCACTCGTTTTGGGGATTCTTAGTCAAGTCTGCTACGGACCCTCCCTCCTCCGCGGCCCTCCTGCCCCTCCTCAGTCCGCAGCGGGCGGGGGGGAAGTACGCGTATATAGAACGCATGAAGCACGGAAATCACAAAAAGTCAACCACCGCTCCTACAATGACAACGCCAAAACGTAAATACGCCCCCTCCCCCTCCCAACAATGAGCAAGTACGAGCACACCCCTCCCTTTTACAACGTTCGCGAAGCGAGAGAAAAATCAACTATCAAAACAAAATCATTCTCAGCCAAAATGCGAACGCAACCTCTCTGAAAGCGAGCCAAATAACGACTCCCCCCCCCTTTGGGGATTCATCAGCAACGACGTGCCCTGTTTTCGATTTCGACTAAAGAATAACTCGACATTCCAGTTCATGGTCATGGGGTTAGTGGGCAGTTCACTTGAAGATATTCGCCATAAGATCCTATTTCGCGATTACTCAAAGCCCACTGCCATGAATTCGTCGTTGCAAACATTACAAGCAATATGGGACTTGCACGAAACGGGATACTTGCATAGGTAGCTGCTTTCTTGGAGCGAGGGAGGGACAGGTATACAAAATATGCGCTTCCTCCCAGCGATATTCAAGCCACAAAACTTCGCTGTAGGACTTGGAGAGTACGAGAAAGTCATCTACATGCTCGATTTCGGTATAGCTAGAAAATATCGGATCGGCGACACGAAGCCAAGTGAAGTATATAATAAGTTACATTTCTTAAAAAAGCATATTTGAACCAGGATGAGCAGAACGTCTGGTTGAACACTACCTGGCTCCAAGAAGCTCATGTGTGTGAATTAACTGTGTTCAGTATGAAGAGCAGATGTCAACGATCCGACGCTGCAGAAGCTTCTTCATTGTGCAAGGGTTCCCATCTTCGCCGGCTTTTTGTGTTTCAGAAAGCCGTCATTCTGCCACGATTCCCTACATCCCCACAACAAAGCCCACTTTTCAACGCTATCGTGCTTTTAAATTTCTTTTTGCAACATCTGTTTCTGTAGCTTTTTTGCATTTTTACTTTTCACAAACGCAGAATATGTGATAAACATACGCAGGCGCCTGCACCCACTTCTTAACGGGTTTATTGGATATGTTGAATGCTTATAACTTTTTTTTCAACACATCCGCTTTCTAAACTCACTCTTCGCTCATAGGATTTACTCACAGACGAGCACCTACACACTATGCCGCCCCACTTAGCCACCTCACTTCAGCCGGACAGCGATTTTGCAAAGTTTTGACTGTTTTCATTATTTATCCACTTTCTTAAGGTCGCCGAAACAGCCCCTTCCAGTGCTAGCGGTTTTTCCCACATTGTGCGAGCTCTTCCCACTTTTCTAAAATGTCGTGGTTCGACGATGAAGTCTTGCTCGTCGCTCGGAATAGACCATTCAAGGTTTCAGGGTCAGACTAGCGCCTTTCGTCATCAGATGACGCTCGCGTTGAAAAACTGCTGTATTCGTGCAAAAACGCCAAATAACCCTCATATACAACTTTATTTCAATTTGGGTGGAAAAAATGTTAGCGCCAAGTCGGCGGCGTAAAACGCAGGTGACATCGTGAAAGGTTCCAACTAAAAAAGCCTTTCCTGGGGTTTTTTGAATAGCTGTTGTTTGTTAGAGAATTCAATTTTTTAGTTCGAATTATTGCCTGGATAGAAAAACATTTCTCTCGCTGTTTGGGATCCAACTTTCACAAGTTAGAAAACCAAAGAAACATTAGTGGAAACCACCCAAAACGTTGTGCAAAATTTTGTTCGGTGACTCATAATGTCCTCAAGGTGAAAAAGATGGGAAATAAATGACAGCAACTTGGTTTAAGCATGTCCAATCAAAATGAGAATAGCCTTTATCCTCTTTTTTAACCCCGTACCGTTTCGGACATCCACTTGTGAGTTTCAGGGTAGCACGTGTTGCAGTAAAGTTCCTCGGCACTATACGTTTTGCTTCACGGGCATGTCATCTAGGGATAGAACAGGGCAGAAAGGATGATCTCGAGACTTGGCTCTATATGGTAAGGAGTTTGCATTCCTGGACGATTTGTGTTTTTGTTTATTAATTTGCTGTGAGCCTAATCATATTAAGAAACAAGCTATATGGTTCAGTTCGCTGCCTTACCTGACACATCCCTTCATCCGCAGCGATCTAAAGAATGGTAGATCCTATCTCCATTCCGATCTCATCTTTTGAGTATATTGCCTGAGTACTGCAACGTACAAGTAACATCTGCTTCTGTCAACCCATGCTTGGCTTACGTTAAGGTAAAGCTCGTCGAGGTGGAAACTCATGCACCGTATTAGCGCTCGTCCTGCATGGGTAGGCATTCCGATGCGAGAGACCCAAGACGTTTGAAATCAAAAGAAAAACGACACAGCTTCTGAGTTGTCTCTTTAACGACATAACTTCTGAGTTGCCCCTTCTTGAGCAGCTTCCGAATTGTCACTTTTTGAAACATACACAAGGTCAAATCATATTTTACCTCTGCCAAATAATATTGTTGGTTGAATGAGCCAGAATTTATTAGTCGATTTACTCGACTTCTCTCAGAGGCCTGAAGTAGCTTGAAGGAAATTCGAAGAAGGGAGCGAGAAAGAGGCGCTTAAAAGGAAGCTCTTGATATTTACTAATTCTAAGGAGCTCATTGAACGTTTAGATTACCGTGACCTCAAACTAATTGCACCTAATGCTTACCTGCATGGTCAGGTTAGCGTCCACTGCACTCATAAGTCGCCCTGCTATTCCAAAAAAATATACGACCCCGCTTCGTCAACACTATCTGGGACGAAGTCCACCGTAAACCCTCTTGAGCACACTAATACTTTATGACTTTCAGCTATTCGATCTTTTTGACGGTGAAAGTCTGCCTTGGAAAAGAGCAGCAGCTGATAAAAACAAAGGTACGGCTTGCCCCCAACAATGAAAATAGTACCACTGATCCGCTAATGACTACCAAGTTTTTGAGGTCTGAAGAAGTTTCATCTCAGCTGCTATGATCATCATAAGTGTTGTCATTAAGGTCATCACAATGAAGGAAAAGTTCATAAAACTGCAGTATCCGAAAAGCTTCAGAGTTGTGCCCGCTGAAATCCGTCGAATTATTCAGTATATCGACGGGATGGATTATGCTGATGAACCAGATTACTTGTATATTCAAAGTGCCTTGAAGTGAGTTATTCATCCCCACATATCCTTCGGAATTTCTTCACTCCCCATAGAAACGTGACAGAGGCTACTTTAGCTTTGCAGTTTCCTTGTGAACATTTTTGGAATCACGTTGCTCCTCAAAACGGATCAGATATTCCGGTCCTTTCTCCACCAGCTGGCTTGATTCAAACTTTAACTAGGGATGGGCGAGACATGGTTCTTCACTTGGGTACTTTTCTCACCGAAAAATATACCCACCTAACCAGGGGGTGGGGGTGTACATATATACGGTGTGGATATCAGTGCTGCGTTCTTCCTCTATATTGCAGAACCTGGACGCCACGGGCCACACAATCATGACTCTGCGGCTATGTGGAGGGGAAGCGAAAGCTGACTGTACGAGGTCCGACCCTGCTAAGTTGCTTTGAGCACGGTTTGTATGCAGACACCGTTCGAGTGCATGATTTCCTGTTCCAGTTGGTTCAGCTGAACATAGAGAGGAAATATTTGTGTGAAAGAAAAGGTTTTTGGATTAAAAAATACAAACGAGGGTGTCCACAGGCTCAAGTAATCACCCAACAACGGCATCCTGGAAAACAGCTTCTCCCGTATTTCAAAGAATGCTCCGACGTTGAAATTGTTAGGCTGTGCATGCCTAGCACTTGACTTGCAACCGAAAAAACCATGTCTGAGTAATGTTTCGGATACTAAGAGATAAGCAGAGGGGCCAAACCCAGCTCCTCAGGCCCACAGCGAACAGAAATGTACGCCCAATTAGTATTTCGTAAACATCGTCTTTGACGCTACATAACCATGAGCATCACGACCACACGAGTCACTTGGACCGACATGGGCCTGGACGACAAGCTTGCAGCTCGCTTTCCTGCCCACCTTCTCGGCCTCCAGCCTCGTGAAAGACGTTCCTCGGCTGCGGACACAAGTTTACCCCCTCCCCTGAGCACGGATTTGAACACTTCGCTGTTCATGGAAAGTGTTTCTGAGACAGTGCTCGCCATCACATAGCCATAAATTCGTCTACATACTACCATTCTCCAAAATCGGGTCTTTCTACGACCCCTGCTCCCAAGAAAGAAACACCAAAAAAAAGGCAAAAAACTAGATTTATCTAGCAGGATACATAATTTTTCAATTGACGGGCATTTAAAACGCTCTTTCACCTTGCTTGCATTACGAGCCGAAAACTGTTTCGCGGCGTGTATGGCCAAAATAAGGGGCAAGCTCCAGAAGCTACCCTTTGTTTGGATTCATAACTCTCTAGAGAGTGGAGCTTCTGGAAAGTGTAAAGCAGGTTTGTGAAGCTCCATATTTGCAAATTATCAAATAGAGATCAGATTAGCATTCAAACTACACTTATATGAGGAACATTACCCGTTGTGATGGTACGAGTATTCTTGCTGAACAGCCATACATTTCTCCACATGTGATCCCTTGAGGAAAAAAGCAGGAGACCGGAATAAAAAACTTCTTCCTCTCAAAAAGCTCCCCTTTTTCTCTCAAGCCCTCAATTCAAGAGAAATTCCCCGTTGTGATGCTGTTGTAAAAAGTTTCGGACGAGGCGAAAAACCCACATTTTCACCTGAACACATTGGGGAAATCTTTGGCGTCGACTGACTCTCTCTCTGGATTGCGTCGTTCATCGACGTGCTGAAAAGGCTTCAACTACAGTAAAGCCCTTCTCCGCTGCACGCACATGCTGTTCCTACGGTTGTTTGAAAGTCGAGCGCATAACACTATTCTGTTCAGCGGTACAGCAACGTCTGTGCTGAAACACATGGAGGTCGTGCTGTTTTTCTGGGGAGGGGGGGTTCGTATTTGGTCGTTGGGAGGGAAAGTCATATGTGCATATGTGTATGTGAGAAATTTGTCGCGTTGGTTTTCCGGATGTTGACTTTTGCGTGATTTTCCCTGTTTCATGTGTACTATAGACCCCTCCCCCCTCCACCACTCAGTTGGCCTCCAGGAGAGGAGTGGGGGGGGGGTGGTTTTCCAACTGATCGGCGTGGTCAATAGCTCCATTTTTCTTTTCTTTTTTATTTTTGTATATATGCTGTCTGTTTTTCTGTTATGTAATGCTATTTCTGTTTTCGGTTGCGTTATGTTATGCTACTCATTTAGACCGTGTTCATAGCTTGCGACGGTAAGAAATGCAGGAATGCGGAAAATGCAGAAATGGCAAATTGCTGAAAAATTGGAAATTGTAATGCTTTTCGTCATTTCTGCATTTTCCGCACTTCTGCATTTTCCGCATTTCTGCATTTCTTCAAATTGATGTGTATATTACGCCTTCCATCATTTCCTCGGATTCCGCATTGCTTCATGGCCTTAGGCTTTGTAGGGTGGGGGGGGGGGATCAGCACATTCGCTACTTCACATCCTGGTATTCATTGCTTTTGAGTGGAATCACTTTATGCCTTTACAACCTAGAGCCGCCATATAGCTCTAGTGCCTAGCTCGAGCTCGAAAAGAAAAACAAACTGTAAGAAAAAAAAGGGGGGGTCGTACTGAACCCCCCCCAGAAAAGGGGGGGGTCGTACGGGTTTGACCGAAATCCCCAACAAATGCTGTGCCCTGCCACCACCCTCCCCCCTACCCCACCCCGCTCAACAGCAAAATTTTAGGAAAAAAAGTAGGAAAACTTTCGGGAGATTCGGGAAAAAGTGCTATTAAGTTGGGGAAATTTTTCCGTTCTACACTGGCTATATACCTCCCTTGACGGAAAATTTTGGGTGAAAAACTGGAAAATGCGCTGGGGAATTGGTGGGTAGGTGCTGGGGAAAGGGGGGTGGTGGGTCGTACCAAGACCCTCATTCAGGTGAGGGGTCTTAGTGTCGGAGGGGGGAGGATCCTACCTACACCACCACCTCACACATCACGATGCTGTACCCTGATTTAGCTAGTCTATTAATTCATGACGTCGTCGTGGATCCCTACTGTATTTCTTGTCATTGCCTTTCCCCTTTCTGAGCCTGCTACTGCCTCTGTCTTCAGGTGTCCCTGGCTGTTCTTCAAAGCAAGAATGAATGAATCTTTCATCCATCAGCAATTGTACAACATCTCAGTATTGCTGCCCTTTCCACTTCTGAATGAACCCTGCGCTTACGACCCTCCCTCTCCTTCGCGGTCAAATACGACCTCTCCGTTGCGATTCCACTACGACGGCGTGCCCTGTTTGAGAAGCAATTCAGGCCTCTGAAAACGATCATAACATTCCTTTACAATTTTGATCTTATTCAGAGCAATCGCTAAAGAGAGAAAAATTGACCTCACAAAGCAACTAGATTGGGTTGGAAAGAAGAAGAGGAAGAGTATAGAGGAGGAAGAGGTATGTTGGAGACGATCTCTGGACACTTTAACCCCTTCCCCCCTTCCTCCCGCATCCAGTTCCAAGTGAAAGGATAAGCTCTTCATTTGCAGGAAAGCACTACGGATTCAGATATGAGAAAGACTGGCGAAGAAGGTGAGGAAGGAAGCTATGATATAAACGAGAGGGCGAAAAGGAAGAAGTAAGTTGCCACTACTCATGCTACTTCCTGTGTTTTCTCCCGAACACTAGCTACAATCAATTTAAGGTCAAGCAATACGATGGGGAAGAAATAAATGACATGAATAAGACCAGTGTCTGCTCAAACTGGACTTCTTTAGTTTTAGCTTCTACTTACATACAACGAGCAATAGACCATAGTATGGCAATTTATACTGTATACTGTAACAACGAATAAATAATTAGTAGTGCCACTGTACTGAGTGACGGCGAAAGAAACCACTACCACTAACCGCTTTCCTCTCCACAAAACCGTTATATGGAGTACTTTGTACTTTTGACTGGATCTGAAGAAACGGCGAGCGTTAGGCAATCGCTGCACGTGTATAGTTGATAACAAAGATGAAGCTTTCGCCGTCGATTTTTTGGATGAGGTGCACCTTATAACCCTTCTCAGAAACATGCTAGCATTTAGAATGCAAGTCGGACGTTTCATTGACTTGGGGAGGAGGGAGGGGAATGGGAAGGAACGCGGAGGGTGGCGTGGGCAGGGCACGCCGCCGTTGTGGAAATCACAACGGGAGGGGGGGACATATTTAAAGGCAGTTGGCACGATAAATCGCTATACAGGTGTAGGATTTGTACAACTGGCTTAACAGAATTCCGTGACCTCGGACAGGCGCTGCGTGAAGCCTTTTCCAAGGAGGGTACCTCTATAACGCCCTATTGAGCAACAACTTTACGTCCCAAACGCCTTCCTTGCCCGCCCGCCCACAAACGGACGACCGTTTCTGACGCTCGTATTCATTCATTTGCTGAGCAAATTATGAAGCAAAGGGATTGGTATGAAGCGGCGTGATGCTGCATGCATATATGGGTACACATATGCAGCCGTATCTTCGGTAGCGGTGATTGGCAAGATGCGTACGGGAAACTCGTCCGAAATCGATTTACAAGTCACTGAGAACGGAGGCTTTTTCTTCGCCGGATTTTGACCGTTTCACTCCGTTCTTTCGCCATTTCCCTACTAGCATTTTAGGCTAAGTAGGAAACCATCGTGCCAACTGCCTTTAAGCGCGAAGGAGGGGAAGGGTTGTTATCGCAGGGCCCATTTAGAACTGGGAAAAGCAGCAATACTGAGATGCAGTAGAATGAGTGTTTGATAAAAGATTTATTCATGGCTCTTGCTCAGAAGAAGACTTGACATCTGAAGGCAGAAGCAAGTTGCAAGGTAAGAAGTAGGGAACGGCAATAGCAGGAAATACGGTGGGCGTCCACAGCGACATCATGAATGAGTGAGTAAACAAAACACATCATGCGCGCAGAACTTTCTGGACCGTAGGAGCACATCTGCTTGCACGGAGAAGCCTTACCTAGAAGTTACATCTTTCCAGCTCGAGGTGAGAGGGACGCACGGCGCAATACAGAAGGAGTGTCAATTGACACCGAACGAACTACCAAGAAAGATGCGTTCCAGAGGTTCACTTAGCGGCTATGCCCGCGATCATCCGGCACCTCCGATAATGATTAGGAGTCATGGAGGCAATTTTATAGCTCTTCTAGATTACGGAGCTGCCCTGAGGGTTTTTCACCGGGGGCGGAGGGGTGGGGGGTTGTGTGATGTACACTACAGTTTGCTGCACATAATTTGCAAAGCATATAGGTTTATTAACGTCCCGATAATAAAGGGACCGCTTACAGGAGATCCTAGAAACATCAAATAGGAAAGTAGCAAGCAAAACAAAAATGTTATCAAATGTACGAAAATATTTCTGCATGAGATTACTGGAAACGATACGTAACAGACTCGTCACATTAAAAACCCGCCATGAGTAAATAAATATTACATTTCGACACGACACCAGCAACCTATCAAAATATGACACATAAACATGACTAAAACCACGGATGCCATCGCGGATCCATTTGGGAGAGATTTTCTTCATTACGCGCGCTCTCTATAGCCAGCTGTATTTCCTCTTGTAACAAGTATGCCTCCTGTGTGGCCATCCCTAGACACGAGTTTTTCATTATTGAAAATATTAAAAAAATCATTATCGAAATAGACGAACCAATAAAATCATCAAAAAACTCACTAGTTAATTCAGCGGTCACTTTTGTGATGAAGTTGTTCGCCTCAGCACAAGCGCTAGGCTGAAAATGCGGAGCCATACATAACAGTAGCCTATCGGAAAAAAAGGTTTATCACATACTTGATCATGATTACCATTGGTTACTATTTCATCCAAAATCAATGGTCGAAGTAGTAAGTGTTGATCGCGCCGGAAAAGACATCGAATAGCAGCCGCAGCAGCCCATAGAAAATCGCCTTCAATAAAAAAACCATGAATTTGTTGTTAGGTTTGCACTGTTTTGAAGTGTCTTCGAATATGGGAAGGTATGTGATAAAATGTGAGACCCAAACTGTAATTGATCATTCCCTTCACAGCTTCCGCGAAGCAGTTTCTGCTGAATTTAAGTTGCGAGCGTCCGAAAGCAACGCTGCTGTTAGAAGTCGCTATTTCTCCTCACTTCCCCCCTTCCCCGCCCTCCCGCCCCTTCTCTTTACATGCTAACTGATAGTGTGGGACATTACACCCACATTGTTTCGACCACCAACCAACGCGGAAGCGCTACAGCATGTCCACTTGGATAGCTAGATCTCCCACAGTCACTTTCATTGTCAACTTGAAGGCAGTTGGCACGATGATTTGGTGCTCGGCCTAAAATGCTAGTAGGGCGCTATATAGTGGGGAAATGGCGAAAGAACGGAGTGAAACGGTCAAAATCCTGCGAAGAAAGAGCCTCCGTTCTCAATGTGTCAAAATCAATTTTGGACGAGTTTCCCGTAGGCATCTTGCCAATAACCGCTACCGAAGGTACGGCTGCATATGTGTACCCATATATCCATGCAGCATCACGGCCGCTTCATACCAATCCCTTCGCTTCATAATTTGCTTAGCAAATGAATGAGAGCGTCAGGAACGGTCGTCCATTTGTGGGCGGGCGGGCGTTTGGGTCGGTGTTGTGGCTTGATAGGGCCCTTATAAGGGCACCTTCCTTGGAGAAACCGCTATGCAGCGCCTGCTCAGGGTCGCGGAATTCCGTCCTGCCAGGAGTATTGATCCTAGTCGTCTTGGGGATTTATCGTGCCAACTGCCTTTAAAGGCGTTATCTCGTGGATCCCTTCGAAAGATAATAAGGCGCTTGAGAAAGGAAGGAGCCTCGTCAGCTTCCCGGTCTAGGCACAGCCACACGCCCTGCAGTTTGCAGGGATCATGACTGTCATCGGGTTCAAAATGAGGATGACGCCTCTGCGCTCGTCCACTTCATTCTTGCTTTTGTTTACCTAAATCTTTGCCCGCAAAGAGCACTTAT